CAATGCTTGAAGGCCTTGGATTCGCAATACAGCTCCCGCCAACATTCAACTTGACAAATCCGCTATGAGGAGGAGCCCAAGCATGTAAAGAAGTCACTACCACCGGAGCTGAACTTGCAACCTCTTTCCAATTCCTTAGCAAATTATCAGACGAGAAGTCATTAAACAATTCCAAAGACTTAAGCCAGTGCACCGCTCTGATGTTAATCACCTCCAAAATACCTTGAAACCCCTTATCTGAAAAGATTCTTAAGTTCCTTTCCCATAAGGTCCAACAAACTGCTGCCCTTACACTTCTCTACATGATTCTCCCTCTTTTTAACGACCATTTGAAAAATGTAGGGGCAAATAGACTTTGCACATCCAACGGGAGAGTCTACCTACACCTAAAAAAAAAGAAAAGAGCCATTCCCAAATACATTTAGCAAAGTGACAAGAGATCAGTAAGTGATAACCATTCTCTCGTTCAGCTTTGCACATAAAACACCAATGAGGAGATAAACAAATTTTTGGCCTCTTTCTCTGCAATAAGTCACAAGTGTTGATTTTTTTCCAGGAATGCTTCCCAACAAAAAGCACCAAGCCTAGGTTGAATAGGATTAGACCAAGCTTCGTTAACAGGGAAAGACAATCCAAGGTGATGAATAGGTTGAGTTAAGGCTTTAAAAAAGGAAGCACAAGTCAACCTAGGCTTAGAAATACTCATTCGCATTGTCTGATTGGAAAACTCGGATCTTAGTTTGAAAATGAGTACATATCATCCGTTGAAAGTCTTTCACCAGTTTAGGATCTTCTTCTTGATAGTGCATAGGATAAACCTAAGTGTATTGAGAAAAATCATCAATAAATGATACGAAGTATTTATAGCCATTTTTACTTGGAATATTAATAGGCCCCACACATTAGAATACACAAGATAAAAAAGATCTGATTTTTTATTACGTAAAAGAAATGAAGTTCGATAATGCTTATTCAACTGACACACTTGACACTGAAATTGATTAACTGACATAGACTTAAACAGTTCTGGAAATAAATGCTTAAAAGACTCAAAAGACATATGACCCAAACGGTGGTGCCACAACAAGACTCATACTTGACTGACTCAATGACAACTACAAGACCAACTTTGTTCTCCAACATATGGAAGCCATCAACCATGTTCTCCTACCAATTGCCTTCTCGGAGGCTAAATCCTAAAAAACACAAGAATGTGGGAGAAAGACTACTGAACAACAAAGCATGTGTAATACTAATAACAAACAAAAAATTAATAGGTAAACTTAGAACATGCAAGAAATATGATAGTGGATGACCAAAGGGCAAAGATATAGATCCCTGGCTAGCAATGGAGGAGAAAGATCCATCTATTAACCTCATTGATCTAACCTCACTTGATCTCTGCTTGAGAGGAGGGTATATGAATGGAATGGGTTGACTTACCAGTCATATGGTTTGAGGCTCTGGAATTCAATAGTCCATGGGGGTTTCAGAGTCTTAGAGGCTACATGGAAGGYAGAGGCTGAGTTACCTGAGGAGAATGCAAAAGAAGTTTAAGGAGTAGGCCTAGTATCTGCATGTCTAAGAGCCCTACCATATTTCTCAAAATGGTCATGGAAGGAGTTAATATTATCCTCCTTGAGATTAGAACCGGGAGAGGGGGGGGGGATCTTGAGATGAAGTCACTGCTGAATTTCCATGCTATGAATCATGAGCTGCTAAGTTGGCCGAGGTATACTTCTTCTGATTTGGTGCTGACTTCTTTCTCAACTCTTGTGCCCACTTTGGCTTCCTATTCAACTCCCAACAAGTTTCACGGGTGTGTCTGGATTTCTTTCCTGAGTTTATGTTTCTCCTTATTGCTAAGGTAACAGTCTTCCCCTCAGGAGCATTCATAACTGATTTACTGCTTTCCTTTGACTGAACTAGGGCATAGACTTCTTGAATAGATGGAAGGTCCTTACCGCCCAGAATTTGCACTCTAATGAGGCCCAACAGGAAAGCAAACAAACGCTGCCGAGACACGATGTTTATAAGCTTTGGTATCTTTTTCACTTTCCTACTCAATGCTTTGGTAGTAATCTGGCTCTTTCCAAACTGAAGTTAGGGCTGAATAGTAGCCAGAGAAACTCCTCTCCTTACATGTTGAAGATTCAGCTTGTAATTAGTAAATCTTGSCACAATGCCTTTGCTCTGAATATGTTGCTTTTGCTTGTTCCCATATTTCTTTAGCTGTTTCAGCTCACATGAAATTCTGTTTAACTGAAGGTAACGTGGATGTCAGAAGCCATGACATAATCATACAGTTTTCTTGGTCCCACTTGTCATATTCAGAAATCTAGGTTCCTTTACCTTCCCATTGACTCATTGATATTACCCCGCCTTTCCCTTGGTTGTAATATACAGCTGCATCTCTTTGGACCAAGCCAAGTAGTTCCTACCATCCAAGGGAGTGATAGTCATAGGAAAATTTAAAGTATCCTGACCACCATTCAATCCACCCAAATTAGATGTGGTTCTAGATGTTGCAGAAACTTATAGTAGCCATATATAATAACTTTACTTTTTTTTTGATATTTCTGAAGGGCTACCCAAGTCTCCACTATGACCAGCAGGAGACCTTAACAACCAGCTGGTTGGCACCTTGCCACTACCACCATATATAATAACTTTAGAGTGAACAAATGACCTGTTGTCTCTGTCCACACACAGATGAAAACCACCCCACTCCTTATAGATTTTTATGCATGTAACAAACACATTCACACACAGCAACTGCTGTCACACACATGTACAGGACACACAGATGACAACCAACCTTTCCAAAGGACAATACAAGTCCCAAACATCAACAAAAAAATGCTGCAGTCCCCTGCCAGTTGAACCAGGTCACTCATGACCTACAAAGGTCAAACACTCCCTTACACCATTTGGTCAATGTAAAACACAACCTGTCCTTGGACTTATTGCCAAGAACAGAGGCTACAAACAAACTAATTCTTGATTCTGTTCAGTCTGAGCAGATTTTTTGAAGATTTAAACCCAGAAATGTTCAATTGACCTCTAGGGAAAGCTTCAATTGACCATCCACTTTTTTTGTATTTCTTGGATAACATCAGAAATGCTCTCAGAACTGGGGTGAGTGTTGTCAGACCTGGGACGAGTCTGCTTCTTCCATTCTCAGTCTAGGGAAGAAAGAAAAAAGGCTATGATCAGAAAGGAGGGGATTCAGAGAGCAATGTCCTGCTCTGATACCATATTTTCCAAGAAAGAAGAGAAGAGAAGAGAAAAAAAATTGTCTGAGACAAAAAGCATGCTGACGGCACTAGCTACTCTATATTTTTATATTAGGGTGACGGTACAAATCATAAAAGAATGGAAAACACCAAAATACCCCTGCCATACATGGCTGACACAATAATTATGTGATATCGCAAGCAGACTGACATAGCTACCGCCTTAGAGGCACCCTGCGATGTCAGGTTGAGCTGAGAGCGCTGGTGAATGCGATAGCACATTGATCATTGGTTATGCCGCTTGTGTTTATCATCGCAGTGTGTATCTCCACAATTTCTTATTTTGAATGATATCTTTGTTAGTAAGGAGATTAGTGAGCTCATTGCAGGCGTCATCGCAGGTCTTATATGGTTAGTTGGGTCATGAGGCCTTACGATTTCAATTGCTGACAATGTGGTTGTACTACCTTTTGGCGTGGACATAGACTTCATCACAGGTACTGTGGTGGTTGCCTTTGTGTCATTATGACCCTCATCGCAAGTTCTGCGGTGGTGATCTACATGTACTTACATTATGTTTATGTGTTTTGAGCCAATGGGTATTTTTAAAGAATTTAGTTTTTTCTAATATTTTGGTCTGCATTTTTTGAATTAATAATAATTTTATTTTTCTTTTTTTTTTTCAAAATTTTGTTCCTTGCTTCAGAAAGGTGTGAGCCTCACGTCATGCCTTGTGCCTCAGGCTTGTGCTTTTCCTTGTACCTTACAATTTAAAAATTTTCAAGTAGGATACCTTGCATGCTTAACAGAAGCTCAAGATTTTAAGTATACATTACTAGTTTGCTGAATGGAGTTGATTTTCTTGATGGTGCTGATTTCGAAGTTGCTTTTCTTCTCTTTTTGAAACTTTGTAGGCTGTATTCTGCATCAAAGAGGACCTTATGTGTTGATTTTCTTTTGTTATTTTTTTTTGGGAAGATTGTCTTTTGATAAAATTAACTGGTTGTTTATTGAATTTGRGGATTCTGCCGTTTTGTTAGAAAACTATCTTTAGCAAAAGTAGAATTTTAATTCATTTTGCATATTATGCATGCCATTATGGATTGAAGTTTCTGTTGTTTTTACTTTCATCTTATTTTGTTTCTGGTTGATGCCAACAGCTAACCGATGAGCTGAAAAAAGTGGAAGGAAAGCTAAAGGCTACCGACATTCTTTTGGAGAACAAGGTATAGTGTATAGTTTTTGCTATTGCCTGCTTCAACTTTTCTTTATCAATTTCTTGAAAGTTATTTTCACATTTGATGAGTATATTCTGACTTCACTTGTATCATCTTTTTCTATAGAATCTTGAGACCAAGAAGATAAATGATGAGAAAAAAGCAGCTCTTGCTGCACAATTTGCAGCAGAAGCTACACTCAGAAGAGTCCATGCTGCTCAAAAGGATGATGATATGCCTCCTATTGAGGCCATCATCACTCCACTTGAGGCGGAGCTAAAACTTGCTAGGCTGGAGGTATGTAAAGCTGTACTCCAATATTTTGTTGTTTGCAGTTACTGCCAGTATTATTTCTATTATGCATATAGACAGTTATTCATATCATACATGCATTTGGTTTTTGGTAGTCTGCTTGTGAAATAGTGTGGGGTGTTTAATCTTGTCTGTTGGGATAATTTGTCAAAAACCATTCATAATAAGGATGAGTTTTCTGTGTGTATTTGAAAATTCTGTTTTGGATTATCAGGTCGCAAAGATACAGGATGATAATAGAGCACTTGACCGACTTACTAAATCAAAGGAAGCTGCTCTGCTCGAGGCTGAGAGGATTGTTCAAATTGCCTTGGCAAAGGCATCATTAGTTGAAAATCTGCAAAACAAGAACCAGGAGCTAATGAAGCAGATTGAAATATGCCAGGTTTGTTCATCTGTTTGATATTTGACTACCTACTTTAGGTTAAGGTGCATGTATGGTGCTATTGGCATGGTGGTGGCCATCCATGAGATGCATTACATGGGTGGATGTAAGATCTATTGCTTCTTTATCAGGAAGAGAACAAGATCTTGGACAAAATGCATAGGCAAAAGGTTGCAGAGGTAGAAAAGCTAAGTCAAACCGTCCATGAGCTAGAGGAGGCTGTTCTTGCTGGTGGGGCTGCTGCCAATGCTGTGCGCGATTACCAAAGAAAAGTGCAGGAAATGAATGTGAGTTTCCTTTTTTTTTCAATATAACGTCTTTCAAATAAGATACCTATCCTAAAATCTCAAGATCTTAGGAGGAGAGGAAAATTCTTGACCGGGAACTAGCTCGTGCAAAGGTTACTGCAAACCGTGTTGCAGTTGTAGTTGCAAATGAATGGAAAGATGCCAATGACAAAGTAATGCCTGTAAAGCAATGGCTCGAAGAGAGAAGATTTTTTCAGGCACGTTATAGTTTACCCTTATTGCATTATTTCCTTTTCCTCTTAATTCCTTTTTCTTATATTGATTTGGATTGTGAGTTCTTATTATGGAAATGACAAGAATGCCACTTGTTCTTGCGGATATTTATTTATTTTTTTCTATAAATTCTTTGGAGATTTTGGTGAAGTTCTACTTTGGTTAATGAATTAAAAACAAAATATTGGCAGAAGAAAGAAATGCAAGAGGTGCCTTCATTAAAGACCACTTTGGCAAGGATCACAACTATAATGACTCTAGATTAATCTTTTCTTTCTGGGGCTATTTTGTAACTCTTGGGAAAATTAGAGGGAAACATTGAAGCTTCAGATATTTGACATTTTCTAGTTAGATTATGGATTTCTGCATTATTTCTAACTAGAATGATACTTCAGGTCATGAGGGTGTATTGTACAGAAAGTAATTTTTTTATGCTTTTCATGTTTGGTGACTGAAGTACTGAACTATATTAGCTTATTATACTAATACAGGGAGAAATGCAACAACTTCGAGATAAACTGGCAGTAGCAGAGCGTGCTGCAAGGTCAGAAGCTCAATTGAAGGTAGGGAAGTTTCAGCAATTATAGAGGACTTGATAACTTAGCATTATCTAAATCAGTTTTGCCATTGTTTGAGCTGGGTTCTTAGGAAAGATACCAATTGCGACTAAAAGTTCTTGAAGAAGGTTTGAGACATTCTCCCAGTGTCAATGGTCGCACTACTTCAGAAAGAATCATAAGCAATGGGCCTTCAAGAAGGCAGTCCCTTGGTGGAGTGGAAAGCTTCTCCAGAAATTATGCCGATGGCTTTTCATCAAGGAGGTCTTCAAATTTACGGCTTGCAACTGTGTCTTCCAACAGTGCAAGTGCATTGTTAAAAAATGTGAAATGTTCATCAAGGTCATTTGATGGTGGTAGCAGATCAATTGACAGAAGCAAGGTTACATCAGACAGAGATGGGAAAGATACTACTGACAACCAAACCAGTGATGGCATACAAAGTAATGAGACAGCTAGTACATGTAAAGAGACTTCAAATGGGAAACCAAATGAGAACATGAAAACAGATCATGAAGATTATGTGTCTGGACTTTTGTATGATATGTTACAAAAAGAGGTTATTACTTTGAGAAAAGCATGTCATGAGAAGGATCAGAGCCTTAAGGACAAGGATGATGCAATTGAGGTTTCAACATTACTATTATCTCTATATCATCTTGGGGTTTTTCTTTTCTTTTGTTTCCTTAAACTGTTAGTATTTAAATCATATTGTTTTACCAGATGCTGGCAAAGAAGGTTGATACCTTGAATAAAGCAATGGAAGTTGAGGCCAAAAAGATGCGAAGAGAAGTAGCTTCCATGGAAAAGGAAGTTGAAGCAATGCGTGCTAACAATGATCCAAGGGGACGGCGCCTCAGTGCTCCCAGGGGGGCTGTTAATAGTTCTCAGTTGCTTTTTGCAAGGTAGTGTTTTTAATTTCTATATTTCTCTATTTACTGTAAACTGGGATCATTTGTAGAGTCATATCTAACCTCTTTTAAAATGTAAGTGAATTTTTCCAGTAAGAATACACTTTATCTTTGTTAGCGTAGGGGTATTTCTGTCTTTATACCTAGATTAATGTTGCTGATCTGTAATGTTGTGTTGGAACCAGTGCTCCTAACTTAAATAAGGGCACATA